CCTAGTTCCTCTGGGTAGGCCTCCTAATACTATCTATACTAATAAAAGGGTAATATGCTAATTAGGCCAGACATCTTCTGGACATCCTTCCAGATAAAGCCATGGTGGTGGGGGCCAAGGCAGAAGCGGTTAGGGGCAATCAGGTCAGCTAGGAGTGATCAGGCTGGCAGGGGAGGGCAGTTAGGGGCGATCAGGCAGGCAGGCAAGCGGTTAGGAGCCAGCGGTCCGGTTTGCGAGAGGGATGTATGACTGCCAGTTGTGGGATTGGGCCTAACTGGGCAGTCGGACATCCCCTGAGGGGTCCCGGATTGGAGAGGGTGCAGGTTGGGCTGAGGGACCCCCTCCCCTCCTGTGCACAAATTTTATGCACCGGGCCTCTATTGTTGAATAAAAGTGGCAAAAGTGGGCATCATTGTCTTGTTCCTGATCTTAGAGGAAAGGTTCTCAGTGTTTCACTGTTGGATATGATGTTTGCTGTGCATTTGTCATTATGTTGAAGTACATTCCCTCTCTACCCACTTTGTCAGGAGGTGAAGCACATTCTCTTACTTAAGAAGAGAAGACAGATTCTGTGAGCTCAGATTCTATTTCTGCAGCAGACAACAGGATATCAATGATCTCAGGTTTACATATTCCCAAGGGGCCATTAATTGGGATCCTTAGGGTGTCGTGGCTAATGAAGTCAAACTAAGCATTTTAAGGCATTACTTACTCTAACACAGCTATACAAAGTAGGGCTGTCATAAAGTCATAGTTTTGAACAGTAGGGTAAATTTAAATGAAATGTCATACCTGTGCCTCTCCTTCCCATCTGGTATGTAGGTGTTTTCATTTGCAAAAGATAAATCCATGCCAAGAATTCAACTGGACACAACCTAAAAGTACTTTAATCTTAGTGCATACCTTGAGGGTGGGGAGCCAGCTTTCCTTGGCAACCTTGTGCCAAGCATCTGCACACATGTCAGATTTATAAACATAGTCTTGCTTTAAAGGTGGTAATGGGGTTACTAGAATTTGGGAGCAGGTATAGCTTGAAGAACATATTGTAAACCTACTACTTAATACAAATGGTCAAACTTAAAGTTGGCCAAATTGTTTTTAGAAGCTATGCAGAAGATGGAGTACAAGTCAGCACTGTGGGGAGCATGAGAGATTGTTCTATGGAAACAGAATCCATCCCCAAGGTCTCAAAATGAGCATTTTGACTCAGTTTGAGGTGAGTAGAGGATGTCATAAATAATTCTTCATGGGAAAACTCCACATTTGAATATGAAATTAAGCTGCACATGTGATAACAATATTTGTCAGGTACTGAGAGCTTTGCATGTGGGCCCAGGCACTGCAAGTTAGACATCTCCAATGTACACGTAAGAAAACTGAGGCTGGTGTCAATAAGCAAGTGAGAGTTTGGATTAATTTTTTAAAATTCTGATTAAACTAGAGGCCCGATGCACAAATTTGTGCATCAGTGGGGTCCCTCAGTCTGGTCCGCGGGATCGGGCCGATACTGGCTCTCTGACATCCCCCTACGGGTCCCAGATTGCGAGGGTGCAGGCCAGGCTGAGGGATCCCACTGGTGCACAATCAGGGCAGGGGAGGGACACAGGAGGTTGGCCAGCCAGCAGGGGAGGGACTGTGGGAGGGCTCCAGGGTGTGTCTGGCCCGTTTTGCTCAGTCTGGATCAGCCAGACCCCAGCAGCAAGCTAACCTACTGGTTGGAGTGCCTGCTCCCTGGTGGTCAGTGCACATCATAGCAAGCGATTGAGCAGCCTTAACATATCATTAGCATATTATGCTTTGATTGGCTGAATGGCCGACTAGACAACTGAACACTTAACATATTAGGCTTTTATTATATAGGATAATAAAACAACCACCTCAGGTTCTCTTTTATACACCCCATTTCTTCTCTGTTTCTTCAGGGAGAAGCTAAGTCATTCTATATAGTTTTATTTTCCAGTGGTTAAAGGTATATCCACTCAGGAAGCAAAATGAAACTGAAAGCTTCCTAAAATTATATTACACATGCCCGGTGGTGTAGTTCAGTGGTTGAGCACTGACCTATGAACCAGGAGGTCAAGGTTTGATTCCTGGTCAGGGCACATGTCTGGGTTGCAGGCTCCATCCCCAGTGTGGGGGGTGCAGGGGAAGCCAATCAATGATTGTCTCTCATCATGATGTTTCTCTCTCTCTCTCTCCCTTCCTCTCTGAAATCAGTAAATATACATTTTTAAAAATAAAATTATATTACACATTTTTTTTTTGCCTTTGTTGTTATACTGAACGCTTACAACATTTTCCTGAAAAATCATTCTTTGCATGGGTGGCGCAGTAACTGATGGTCCAGGGCTAGGGGGGCAGGAGGGAAGCTACCGGCGCCCACTGCCTGCTTTTCCTTTGCTTGTCAGAGTGGGATTTCATTTGCCCCCTGGTGGCCGTTCTTGTGCTTGCAGTCCTTTCACTGACTTCGTGGGAATCTCCCAGGGCCTTAGAAACTAAATCATTAAACCAGTTAGAATTGTGTGTGAAGTACAAGTAAATAGGCCTGAAAGGCTGGCCGATAAGGAAAGCATCAAGAGCGCCGACTCCCTAACTTCCTTTTTCATGTTAGGGCCCCTGACTAATACCTCTTTAAGTTTTATGTTGTGTCCAGATAGATGAATGCGCCATTTAACTGAGTTCCAAATTAGGTACAATGAAACTTTCATTAAAATAAGACCAACACACACACACACACACACACACCACACACAATTTTTAAAAAATTGATTTTAGAGAGCGAGGAAGGGAGAGGGATAGAGATAGAAACATCGATCTCTTGCCTCCTGTTCCCCTTACTGGGGATGAAGCCGGAAAACTAGACATGTGCCCTGACCTGGAATCAAACTGGTGACCTCTTGGTTCATGGGTCAACACTCAATCACTAAGCCACCCCAGGCAGGCCACACATGACTTTATATTCTCATTAATTCTGGCCTACCACACTCAAAATTTCCACCAAACTAAACAATAATGTTCTTTCTGAAAAAAGAAATATTTTAATACTCATTGAACATTTGTTTATATTGTTCTACTTATTATATTTTTATTGATTTCAGAGAGGAAGGAAGAGGGAGAGAGAGAAATATCAATGATGAGAGAGAATTATTGATCTGCTGCCTCCTGCACGCCTCACACTGTGGATCGAGCCCCCAACCTGGGCATATGCCCTTGACTGGAATCGAACCCTGGACCTCTCAGTCCGCAGGCTGATGCACTATCCACTGAGCAAGACCGGCTAGGGCTGTTTACATTGTTTTATTAGTAAACCTTTCTTTAGTAAGAAAATAATGGATATAACTTTAGATGAGTTTTAATGTTCCTGAAAGTATCAAAACGAGGTCATATGGTGTTGTAGGCCGTCTTAGTCCATTCAAGCTGCTACGACAGAATACTATAAACTGGATGTTTACAAACAACAGTTTATTTCTCACAGTGTGGAGGTTGGAAGTCTGAGATAAAGGTCCCAGCAGACTCAGTGTCTGGTTCACAGGCTGCTGTGTCCCCGATGGTAGATGGGGTGAGGGAGCTCTCTGGGGCTTCTTTGATAAGGGGACTGATTCCATTCATGAGGGCTCACCCTGTAAGACCTAATCACTTCCAAAAGGCCCCACCTCCTAAGACCATCACTTTGGGGATTAGGATTCAACATATGAATTTTGGGGGAACAAAAACATTCAGTCTATAGCATATTAGCACAGTAAGGGCACAATACAGGTTATTATTTAAACATTAATTCAGTGGACATTCAAGTAATTCTAATAATCATATATTTTATTCTAAAGCTTAAAAAAAAAAAGGTTCCTGCCACCCCTCCCCTAGCAGAGGTAATTGAGCTAGCTGTTACAACGTTGCCTGACAGGAATGCTAGCTGTCTGAACTGGGAATCCACTATCCATTCTAACCCAACTGTCTCATCTAACACACAGGAAGACAGAGGGCCAGCCAGTACATGAATCTTGCCCAGAGACAGCACTTCAGGCTGAGCCAAGTGTAAGCCAGGGTTCTTTACATTAACACAACCATCTCTCCCATTTGGGTGGCCCCTCACCATTTACAAAGAGCCTCCTCGGCTCCCTTTCATTTATTATACAACATCTATGAGCTCATGGAGATGCCTTTCCGCTCTTGACTTTGGGAGACCTTTTGCATTCTCAGACCTGTGCTGCAGCAGCTGATTCTAAACTGACCCTAAAATTAAAAAACAAAACAAAAAGCATACACTCAAACATACTTAAATGTGTGTATGTACATACACAGGGTGTCCCAAAAAATGTATACACACTTTAACAGCTGACAGCCTCAGCTGATGCTTCTTTCTTTTCAGATTTAACCCACTGGAATGAATAAGTATTCAAAGCGTGTATACATTTTTTGGGACACCCTGTACATGTATGTATGTGAGAAACAGCACCATATCTCTGAGACACCCCCTGCAGGCTACATACACCCTGGCAGACACAAAGCACAAAGAGAGAATGGTCTTCGGTTTGAGAATTCCCAGTTGCCACTGAAACTTCAATAGTAACAGGCTTAAGTGCCTATGTTTTCAAGAGGCGTGGGAACACTTAGAAGCTACTCTTTAATGAGTCTCATTTTGAGACAAGGGTGAGTTCAGCCAGCCACTCTTCATGCAGTTTTTCACTAAGTCCTTGAAGAATAGTGAAGCCAATTCATTTCTCCTCTCAGAATTTTTCCTTATTACTATTTTTCTTTGTTGCAAGGCTTAATATATGGGTATGTAGGCATTATAGATACAGGTATCATGTGAGGGAGGAAATCAGACAGTAAGTCCAAAAATGCTATGGAAATTAATCATCCAAAGTCAGAGGTAGGGTGGAAGGCGACGTATTCTTTTCCCAGAGCTGTTACCCACATGCAACTGCCCTCAAAAGCAGGAACGGAACAAACTAGACACTCGGCTGCAGAAGGAGGCTGGGTCTTGGCTTTGGAGCTTTTACTGTCTTTCCAACGGGGCTGGGCATCAAGTGTCTTTTCCAGAATAGGCCAGAGAAGATAAGTCCAGTTTGGTTTTGAAGGCTTCCGTCATCTCCGTGGCCAGCAGCTCATGGAGGGACATGCCGTCGTGGGAGTACACCCAGTTCTTCCCGGTCCAGTCGTAGCGCTTGGGGCCACTACAAGACAAAACGCACACACAGCTCATCCCCAGGACAACGCTTTAGAAGAAACACTGATTCCACAGAGTGAAACTCTAGAAAGTAATGTTTAATGAGGCGTATATTTGACTTTTTAGGGTCTTTCTATTTAAGAATAGTTACACAGCCCGGCCAGTGTGGCTCAGTGGTTGAGCGTTGATCTATGGACCAGGAAGTCACAGTTCAATCCTGATTGGGGCACATGCCCGGATTGTGGGCTTGATTCCAAGTAGGGGGTGTACAGGAGGCAGCCCATTGATGTTTCTCTCTATCTATCTCTCTCCTTCACCTCCCTCTCTCTCTAAAATCAATGATATATTTATTTAAAAGAAAAGAAAATGTCTGCTTGGCAGATTTTCTCTCCAGATTTCCATCATGAATTACAGACTTTTAAATATATATATATTTTTATTGATTTCAGAGAGGAAGGGAGAGGAAGAGAGAGAAACATCAATGATGAGAGAGAATCATAGATCGGCTGCCTCTTGCACGCCCCCAACCGGGGATCGAGCCTGCAACCCGGGCATGTGCCCTGACCGGAATCGAACCTGAGACCCTTCAGACGGAGTCCGACGCTCTACTCATTGAGCCAAACCAGCTAGGGCATGAATTACAGATTTAAAAAAAATAGTACAACTTGGAATTTCCAGGAATTATTATCCAGAAGTATATTCTTCTAAACATGGTGGGGGTCGGATCACGTTGCTGGTATGTGTGTCCAAGTACGATATGGACTTTTCAGTTTCCAGACACAACAAAGAGTTCTTTCAGTGGAGCCATCACCGTTCCTCCTGGTGCCCTGCCCAGTGTTTACAAAGCCACAGATCCCCAGAGCTGATGGCTGGACTTGAGCGGATCCACCCAGTTTGTCATACTGGTTCCTCTGAAGATGAAGGATAAGAATTTACGGCCCTCATGCGTGACCGCGGTTAGGAATGAGACAACTGTTTGAGGCCAAAGAGAACAGGCTAACTGGCCCACACAGGGTGAAACCCCTCAACTTCAAATGAGCACAGGCTTAAAAAGCAATCAATATGTGATTAAGGGCCTTACCAGAAATGACAGTGATTTCTGGAATTGTTTTTGTTGAATGATAACATACTCCCTAGATGTGGTTGGGACGAGGGGGCGCATAATGTTTTATTAAACTGACTAACAGTATATTAACTGCCTAAAACTGATATCAAGGTTGGGGCAGGTGACAAGTTAAATTTTTCAAAAATGCAAACATCATCAGGCTTTCAAAGAATTCTATGTCTAGTTATATCTGAGCCTTTCCCAATTCACAGTCAGTATGTTCTCTTTGGAAAAGTTAATGAATGACCCACAAAGGTTGGCCTACAAGCTTTCAGTGGACGTCTCTCTTTTCCTTTCTTATAACCACTTCAACTGCAGCCAGAAGGAGGAGGAACCTTCTCTCCCTGCATGTTCGCAGGCTTTGAGATGCAGCACAGGCCATCTCAACACAACCTTTCATCCCACTAGATTGAAAGCACATCAGTGGAAAAGGCAGCAGGGATTCAATGCCTGGAATGGCAGCGTAAAACACTCTCCCACCCACACCGAGCACATAGCTCAACTCTGCAAATGGAATTCAACTAACCTTTAACTGAGATGCTCAAAACAAACCAGAGGGCAAACTTTAACTTGCTTTGAAGACAAAGTACAGCTTGTTCAGATGCTGCAATATCAAAAGTGGCTTTTTAAAAAGCAGGGCAATGATTTAACAGAGAAAACCTGTCCAGGCCGGGTTCTGACAAGTTACACACTCTTCACTTCAGATCTTGTTCACAACCCAATATCCACGTACAGCAGCCAGATGACCAACAGACAGAAGTCACGTGACCAGAGTAAACTTTCCTGCTGCGAAGGAGACTAGCTGTCGGACCCCAGGAAAGGTTCGCTTACACAGACGCCAAAGCCGGAGGGGACACCCTCTTCAATGGTCCACACGTCATGTTTCCGACAAGCTAACAACACGCGACTTGGCCTTCAGAACGTACCTGGATGGCGAAGATAACCAGATCTGCTTGTTCGGGGTCTGCTTGTTGATCACGTAGGTCCCGAGATCGCCGCCCAGTTTAATTGTTAAAACACCACTCTAGAGGATCAGGTGGACAAAAGCGTGAGGAAAAGAGGAAAAAGTCATCACTTCATCATAATTGCTCCGTATTTTGTTATAGCTCAACACTTTGCATGCATGTAAGTACGCAATACACGTCATGAAGAAATGTCTTTGGTGTTCAGAAATAGGAAGAAGGTCATGCAGAAGGAACATTGCTCTCAGAATCAGACCATGATTACTCAGAACCTTCTGTCTCACAGTGCTTTCCCTCCTTCCCTGTGAGCTCAGCAAGGCGAAGGTAATCACTCTTCCCCTCTGGAGAGGAGGAAACGGAGGCACACGGGGCTGAGCGGCCTGTCTGAGGTATTGCAGCTGCAGCACAGAAGATCCGTATGCCTATCTCTGCCTTGTTTGCACAGCCGCCAGCATAACATGCTAAAGGGCGTTAAAAACCTGGGACACCAGCTCTCCTGGAGTACCACGGTGGCCCACACCTGAGATAGGATAGGTTAATTCCCCCCAAAAGGAAATCAGGCAAGAAAGAAGGATGTAACTGAACCATCTGCCTTGCTCATCTTGGCCCCGACGCTGCTGGGAGAAGGCAGACACTCCAGACCCTTCCCAGGCACCTCTTCAGCTTCGCAGATGCGCCTCCCCAGCTTTATTTTCCTCTGCAACAGCCCTGACTTCTTCAAAAGACCAGTTGGTCCAACTTTGCTCAATAAATGCTCATTTAAATTTGAAAACACTCTT